ATATATGTATATATATATACATCTAAATATATATATATATATGTATATATATACATATATAAATAAAAATATCTATATCCAACAAGGATATAGTTTCATCCAGAGCTCACTTTGTTGGCATCTAACCAATGTACGTGTTCTTGCAGCTATCAGAACGCGTACGAGTGCTTCTCTCGTGTGCTGGACGTGTGGAGGGACGTGTGTGAGTTGCCAGAGGAGGCTGATGAGCATCACCGTATAATTGCATTCAGCCTGGAGGATGCCACCAACTGGATGCTTGCGGTGATGCACATGTTGCAGGTGCGGGTTGTTCGTGGTTGTTGTGTACTATAAAGAGTTTTACGGTTTGGGTGTTACTGTGCGTATAGCGTTATACGTAGATGTCTGGATGTAGCCTTGAGCGGAAGCATCTTGTAATATGCCTATAGTACATGTTGCGTGAAAGCATTTGACGAGAGTTCATGTAAGTAGAGCATATGTACAAATACAGTCTACGAGGAATTTTTAGGACTTTGTACTGGGATACGGTTGCTGCATGCAGATATATCATGGCAATTCTTGTATCGGAGGGTATAGTACTTGTTCACACAAAGCCCTGCGCATGTGTACGTTGTGTGTACCAATGTACGAGATGAATTTTCTACTGTGTCTACGTACGAATGCAGTTATTTTGACTGACTTTTGAATTTAAGGTTTTTTGGGCATGCGTTTACACTTTGCCAGTGTGTGTGTGTAATATTTGCTTTGCCTGGCTACATACTACTTCAAACCATTGAGCATATTTATCGTCTCATTTAATTTGGAGTGTATTCTAGAAAGGGCAAGTATGCATATGCACGCACTATATGAGTGAGCTGGTCAGGTTGTTCCTCAGTTGGGTGTCTGCCTTTAACTACCATCACTGTTGGCTCTATAGGCTAGTACTCTACGCAGTGAGATCAGGTAGTCATGTAGCGGTAGTCCCATGTGCTTTGTTTCCGCACCGTCTTTGAGACGTCTGTGGCTTTTGGGGCATGCTATTGGGGTCAGGTAGTTATTTAGTGGTAGTCCCATGCGCTTTGATTCCCCACCGTCTTGGGGACGTCTGTGGCATTCGGTGCAGGCTATTGGGTAGGCTGTTCGGTGCCTATGCTAGTTGGTGAGCTATTGAGTACTTGCTGTGCGATGCCTTTGCGTGCCATTGGGAAGTGCACTGCAATCCCTTACTTATCATCTGCGCTATATGGTTAGTGGGTGTGCCGGAAGTGTGCTTGACGAAAAAACTTGATTTATAAAGGTGGTGAATGGTGGTAGGTATACCATGAATGGAAGGAGCCTATGCATCGGATATGGCATTCAAAGCTGCTCTCTATGAAAGTATCATTAGACTCAGAGTACACACATCGCCACTACCCCTCTCATAGGACAAGTAACTTACTTTGGTAGTAAATCCAATGCAGAAGTCTCAGACACATCCTGTCATACAAATCTATTTATAGACACAACGACCCCTCTCATATCGCAGTGTAGGGACGCAGCCACTATCATCTGTCGTGTCTGATACGCACACGCATGAACTAACAAACAGCGATACTACAAACAACACAGACAACACCACAGCCAATCTCATTGGTATGATGGTTGTGCGTTTGTGGTTATGTTATGTATGCACATCCCATGCGCATCGCACCAACTGATCATTGCCCTGTTGTGAGTCATATCCCAAACGTGTCATGTGAAACACCGCACAGGGCGACGACGCGCCGCTCACTGTAGACTGTGCCGCTGCGCTGGCGAACTCGAAACAGGGGCCAAGTGATGCGGATCTTGGGCCTATTGGAGGGGGTCTCGGGCTTCAAGGAAAAACGGCCCTGCAGATATATGCACAACAGTACATGGGTAGGTAGCTGCTTGTGCTTGTTGTCTAATGCGCCGGTGTGATAGAGCGTCAGCGTAGTGTGTTACGTGTGGTTGTAGGGCGATCGCAGGCGCATGTTGCCCATGTCATGGGTGTAGTATAGCAGCAGCTTCGCTCGCAGTTACGTAGGCTGTCCTGCACTTACATGCACTTGATTGTACACACATATACTCACTCACACACACACACTGGACTAACCTCAATCACACAGACGTGGAGAAGACCTTTATAGGCGACAATTTGACCGATGAGCTGTCAGATGCCTTCCGCTACAGTGTGCAGTGCGAGAGCGATTACTGGGCTGAGATAGGCCTCCCCCGTGACAGCAGCAGCGCCAACGATCCCAAGAAGGATGACAGGAAAACCAAGAGTGATGATAACAACACCAACAACAACAACACCAACAACAACACCAACGACAACAGTAGTGAAAACAAAGTACATACACAGGACAACACTGAGCAGACAACGCACAGCACTGCCGACAGCGGCCACAAGAGCCACGTACTGATCAGCTGGGGCTGGCGCATGCGCATTCTCAACGCTATCAAGGGAAGCATCTACAACCGCGTATGTACACGGGCGGCACACATGCACACGGGGAGAATAGAGCGGGAAAGAGACGGATGTGTGTGTGTGTGTGCAATGGTGCTTGTTAATGTAGCGTTAACTAGTCAGGTTTTGTGGTGTGTGGCGCTGATATGGAGCTGTAGCGTTTCTTGTGGGACCACCTTGTTGGGCTATTGACGATTGCTGTGTGCGTGTTGCAGCCGAGCTCATATGACGCGATGAAAAGGTGTCCTCTGCCTGTCAATGGGTGTATGAAGTGGTTATGCAAATGCGTTTACGCAGTCTGAGCGGCTAGTTAGGATAGTTTCATGGTTAGGGTTTAGGGTTTAGTAGTCAGTTAGGGTAGTCTGAGCAGATAGTTAGGGTACTAGCTTAGGGTGCAACAACGTTTGCGACGTAATACACAGATCAGGCTGGTGTTGCGATATATTTTAGTGTTGCTTGTTATTAACACATGTTTGCGCATATGGTCACCCACAGGTTAATGGTTGTGTTCTTCACATAACTTACGTATGAGCGTTTGCCGTCAGGCGTAGCATTGTGCGACCAAACCGTGAACTCATGGCTCACACAGTGCCTCTGCGCCGGCAGATTGTAGCCGTGTGTATTATAGTTGTGAATTAGTGTGACAACGTACTGCACTAACATGAAACTGGTTCCTACTCTGCGCTTGTTTCATCATGTATGTTTGTTTTGCGTGTGTACAGCTGTGGTTTAGTGTGACAACGTACTGCAACGGCATGAAATTAGTTTTTTATACAAGGTTTCATGCTCAATTGTGTTTGTTTTAGCCGTGTGCAGTACAGTTGTGAATTAGTGTGACAACGTACTGCACTAAAATGAAACTAGTTCCTTCTCTGCGGTTGTTTCCTAATCTCTGTTTGGTTCTACAGACTTCTGACCCCGCGATCTTCCACAACATGAACGAGACCCAATGCAAAGCCGCCATGGCCTACTTCCTCACAACTTGTGATCAGCTGAGAGCGAGGTACCGCACTTTAAACCACACCCGGGCCAATGGTAAGTGCAGAGAAATGAAGCACGCGAACCCAACACCAAGTGTATATCGGCTGGAACAGCATGTATATATTAAATGTATCACTAAGTGCATATTAAATATATCACCAAGTGCATATCGGAGTGTTGATATAGTGGTGTTATAGTGTTGTTATAGAGTAAGCTGTTCTACAGTATGCCTTCTGTGTTGTTGACCGCTGTGGCTGCACCCATATTGCATTTCGCTTGTCGTTTGTTGAAGCTCTCATTTTCCGACATCTGCAGACTACGCACATTTTGTTTCGTGCGCAAGTCAGACCCACACAATCCAAGTTTCATTACTACCCACCCCTGTGCACACATGTTGAATTAACTTACTACACACCCCTTTACACACATGTTGAGATAATTTACTACACACTAAACCCTAAATCTTGAACCTTAAACTCTAAACCCCTTTGTACCTCTCAGGGCTGCCCAGGAGTTGGAGTGTGTGCCGTCAACGCCTGTGCAGGTTAGCGCAGATGGCGCACTTCTGCACAAAGGACTTGCGCACGTGGATGGTGTGTGTCATGTTCGAGATAAAACCCTAAAACCCTAGTCCGAAAAAAATACGTATGCATATATGCCACTCCCTCCACGTGTATGGTGTATTTGCAGTCGTTAGTATGAAACTCTGACTGAACCAACATAGACACCGAAATCATTCTTAGTGGCAACTACGTACCCGTAGTGTTGGTAGTGTTGGTAGTGTTAAAATGTTGTTGATACATGTGATTGCTGGCTGTGACAAAGTGTTTTCTGTTCTTAGCTGATGAGAGTTTTGTTTCAAACCTTTGATGCAATGCGTTTGCATCGTAAGACTTATGCCAGTGTTTGATGTAATAATATTGTGCGACACTTGCCTACAGTCCTCTGTCAGTGTTTGATGTAATACTACAATACACTTACCTACAGTCCACTGTCAGTGTTTGATGTAATACTACTATACACTTACCTACTGTCCACTGTCAATATTTGTTGTAATGGTACTATGCGACACTTACCTACAGTCCTCTGTCAGTGTTTGATGTAATACTACTATACACTTACCTACAGTCCTCTGTCAGTGTTTGATGTATTACTACTATACACTTACCTACTTTCTTCAGTCAATGTTTGTTGTAATGCTACTAGGCGACACTTACCTACAGTCCTCTGCCAGTGTCTGATGTAATATTACTATACACTTACCAACAGTCCTCTGTCAGTGTTTGATGCAACACTATTATACACTTACCTACTTTCCTCAGTCAATGTTTGTTGTAATGCTACTATGCGACACTTACCTACAGTCCGCTGTCAGTGTTTGATGTAATACTACTATACACTTACCTACAGTCCTCTGTCAGTGTTTGATGTAATTCTACTATACACTTACCTACAGTCCTCTGTCAGTGTTTGATGTAATACTACTATACACTTACCTACAGTCCTGTGTCAGTGTGACTTATTTTGGGACTCCATTCAACTGCGTAGGATGGAGCAGATGCGATGGCCGACGACGACGTGATTGACTTTACCATATTAGGGGCGACAAACCACAATGCACATACCAACCCCGGACCAGGTGATAGTAGACAAATAACCAGGAGTGCATGCGAGAGCGATAACATGGACATAGACAATATCTCGGATACAACGGACCGGCCTATGGATGAGTCAAATGTGATGGGCCACGGGAGAAATGCCGTACGAAGAGAACCGGAGACACAGACACAAGCACACGAGAGTTCACACAGCCATAAGATGCCCGAGACAGATGCAGGTGTGGGGTTATTGTTAGTTGTGTTTGCATTAATACTAGTTACTTTAAGAGTATCCTAGTGAAGGAATATATTTAAGAGGATATAGTTATGATAAGTAGGTTGTGTCCATATCTGATTCTATGCAGTTGTTTTAAGTAAGTTGTATTCATATCTGATTCTATGCAGTTATTTTAAGTAGGTTGTGTTCATATCTGATTCTATGCAGTTGTTTTAAGTAGGTTGTGTTCATATCTGATTTTATGCAGTTTTTTTAAGTAGGTTGTATTCATATCTGATTCTATGCAGTTATTTTAAGTAGGTTGTGTTCATATCTGATTCTATGCAGTTGTTTTAAGTAGGTTGTGTTCATATCTGATTCTATGCAGTTGTTTTAAGTAGGTTGTGTTCATATCTGATTTTATGCAGTTTTTTTAAGTAGGTTGTGTGCATATCTGATTCTATGCAGTTTTTTTAAGTAGGTTGTGTGCATATCTGATTCTATGCAGTTGTTTTAAGTAGGTTGTGTTCATATCTGATTCTATGCAGTTGTTTTAAGTAGGTTGTTCATATCTGATTCGATGCAGTCGTTCTCAGTAGGTTGTTTTCATTTCTGATTCTATGCGGCTGTCATAAGTTTGCGTTCATGTACTGTCTTATCGTATTGCATATATTCTTGTGTTTAGGGTTTCAGGGTTTTTTGTAGTCCGCTAGCAGTGCATCTCTGGGTTAAGGGTTTAGGAGTTTTATGCTCACGGCATGCGCTGTATAAGCTCATGGACTGATAGGTAGCATGCTTGATTGGCTTGTTGAGGAGTTAGGGTTTTAGAGTATTAGAGTTTTAGGGGTTTAGAAGTTTAGGGGTTTGAGGGGGTTTAGGAGAGTGTCTGTGTGTAGACCAAAAGAAAATAAACTGAATCACCTTAGTTTTAGGGTTTAGCCTAAAACCCTAAACTCTAAACCCCTAAAACAACTGGCCTGACTCAATCACCCGCACAACTGCTTTGGCTCTGCAGTGACATCTGTTTTCTGCACTGACTCGTGGGATGACTTTGTTAAAAGTTCCGAACTCTCGCGCGCACTCAATCTGGCGATGGGCGATGGCGATGAGTCATGGATCACTGGGGAACTGCCGCAGAAGGTGGGTGTAGTGTATGCACTGTACAATAGGATGAAATGCGGCTCGTGAAGTTCACGAGATGTTGTCAGCAACTAATCCTAACACTAACATACTGCATAGCTAAACCATTGCAGATGCTAGCTAAAGATGCCTTTACTAACACACACTCAAATCTATAACTAAACCAGTACAGAAGCTAGCTAAGGATGCCTTTACTTACACGCACTCCAATCTATAACTAAACCATTGCAGATGCTAGCTAAGGATACCTTTATCACACACTCATACTAAACTACTACAGATGCTAGTTACGGATGCCTTTACTAACACACACTCTAATCTATAACTAAACCATTGCAGATGCTAGCTAATGATGCCTTTATTCACACACACATAACTAAACCATTACAGATGCTATTCATGGATGCCTTCACAAACACACACTCAATCTGTAACTAAACCATTGCAGATGCTAGCTAAGGATGCCTTTGCGCGGGAGGGAATGGGGCGGCTGAGTCATTCGGAGGTGTTACTTCTGGGATTGCCCTCTAAGCTGTTGTGGCACAACGACGCACAGGCGTACACATACACAGGGGTTGACTACAGTCTGTTGGATCCAGTGGATAGTACGGGCCAGTTAGTGCGCACTGCGAGACTGCAAGTGGGGGGGGGGCCTTGGGGTGGCGGAGGGGGTGGCTTAGGCGGTTCTGGAGCATGTACCACGACACAGCAACTGGAAAGAGATGTGTACGCCGTTGCGAAGAAGTTAGAGTGTATGATCAAACAAGTGATGATTAATGAACAGGGGTATGTGGTAGTGCGTGTGCGTGTGCGTGTGCGTGTGCGTGTGCGTGTGCGAGTATGGGTATGGGGTTTTGTGTATAGATGATACCACATATACGAATATATGCACATAAGTATTAAAACGATTATATATATATATATTATATTCATATATATATATATATT